AGAGAGAGAGAGAGAGAGAGAGAGAGAGAGTTGGAGGATTTTGTTATGACAAGAGAGTGTTCTGAGAGCATTCTAAGATTTCACCTCCCTTCCCCCCATTCTCAGTTTTCACTCTGACTATTCTCCTACCCAACAATTCTGACATAATAAGTCGAGGGAACAAATGCATTTATGTCTCGCACAACAAAGCTGGTTGTCTGTGTCTTTTAGCACCATGCAAACAACAGTGGTTGAATTGCTTCTGGGAAAATGGCTTTGCTTGTTGGGTGCCTATTGATGGAGGGGGTCATCAATGGCCAACACTTTGTGGCTCACAACACTTCTGCATTCTGTGACCAGTCAGTACACTGACTGCAGTAATCATGAACTGCTTGCTTCCTTCCGATTGTTTGGTTAAACTAAAATTTCCCAGAATTTACATCACTTGGAAAGCTCTTAATACCACAAGATTATTATCAGTATCCTACGATTTACATCATCTCAATTATGTGTCAATCTGTCGGTATATTGTCGATATATGAACATGAGTACCCCACAATATTTGGCAGGCATATCAGTAGTAGGATATATGGTATGTAACACTAAGAGGTTGATCAAGGAAATCCCTGTTCTTTAATCTTTTAGACCAGACCTAAGCATGGTAAATTAAATGACTCACTCCAAAGAAATTTCCCAGGCTGCAGGAGGCATTTTCCACTGCACTTGTGGGGATTGACCTGCATCCAAGGAACATCTCCATTAGAATCAATTGTTTGTTTGACATTGGCTCAGAGGAAAAAGAATTCAAGGAGGAAGTTGGATTAATTCAAGGTATACGCGCGCACACACACCAGGTGAAATGTCCAAGGAAATCAGCCACCTCTGCTACATGATGACTGAGATGCAGCAGAGTGAATCCCAAGAACAGGACGAACCCTAGCAGATGCCTGTGGCCACAACAACCTTCAAGATCTAAGCAGCTAAAGGCATTTGATGGATGAAAAGGGGAGTGAGCCATACGTCCAGATGTTGAGCGTTTCATTGTGCCAAGAGAAGAGGCTCAGCAGTGCGTTCCTTATCGGCCATTCTGCCCTGTAGTGATCTCTGATGTACTCATTCTCCTTCATGTAATCCGGCAGCTCCTCGTAGCTCAACAGCTTCCGCTGCTTCTTCTGACCTTTTCTCTTCTTCTCGGCCTCCATGACGGTTACTCTTCTGGAGGCAACACGAACTTTTTCTCTTCCTCTTCCTCTTCCTCGTCTCTTCTCCGTGGGAGGACAACTAAGAGTGACAGTTAACAAGCTTCTATGGGAACGTGAAGCTGTTGCTGTTAGGTCACTGGGTCATTGAAGTACAGCTGAGCCACTATCCATCCTTCCTACCTGTCTCATCAATAAATTGCTTCACATATTGCCAGATGATTTGGTCTTAGATTTAGGTTTAGGATCCAAATGCAAACTTTAAACTATACCATGTCAAGTGTTCCTCCCAAGTACTTTTTCGGTCATAAAGTGAAACATTGATGTACCCGCAGCCGATGGTTTACTGAGTCGTCGGAAGCTGCTTTAGCTAAATGACCAAGCAAAAGAAAAGGCAGATTTAAATGATGAACAAGAAATCAATTCAGGAGAAAAGTGCTGCTTTAGTTAGGTGAAGGAAAACGAAAGCAGCAGGCTATTAACACACGGATCGCCAACTCTCAACGCCTTTGCATTAACGCGTGTGGAGTGTAGTGTAAGATTTTACCAACCCGATCGCACGCCACATACATATCAAACACCTTCGAACACTCAACACTTGCAATAGGGAGCGAGCTTTCGTTTATGCATTCAAATGCTTAGTGTCGCCTTCAGCTTGAAGTGATCATGACTTAATTGGGATCATATTGAGATAGTTCATATCAATCCATCATCTTTTTTTTTTTTTTATCATTGATCATCTCTTAAAAAGTAATAAAATATTATTTTATTATTTACCATCCTTATATTACGGATTTTATCCTTTTTCTTTTCTTTCTCATAACTTCTTATTTCATTCTCACGGTAAACACCACTTTTTGTCACTGCCAATCCTATTTGCTACCAATGCTGCTCACTACCCCTTTAATACCTCTCCACTCCATGTCGAGTTTGTCGACACCCGTGCAAAGTGAGAATGAGATTACTCGCTACGTAAAGTACATAGATGACTCCACTCTTACTCAATATTACATGTTCAGCTCTATAACTCTCGAGTTACAAAGACAATATAAAAAGATGGATGCTAGATCCATTTTCCTACATCTCTACAAATTGTTTGAAAAACAAGGAATAACTCAGTGATATGAGATATCCAAGAGTCTCACCTACGCTAAGATGGCTGACGGGACACCGGTTTAGAACCATGTCCTTAAGATGATTGAGTGGATAAAGAACTCACAAGTCTAGAAATGGTCATAGAGGATAACCTATGTATGGATTTTATTCTTCAGTCTCTACCAGACTCATTTTCTCAGTTTATTATAAATTTTAACATAAATAAGCTTGAGGTGATACTCCCTAAGCTCCTAAATATGTTAAGGGAGGCTGAGAGCACTATCAAGAAAAAGAAACCAATTATTTATACTAGTGAGACAAGAAAGAAAAGGAAAGTAAATAAATCCCTTAAGAAGGGCAAGGCCAAGGGTAAATTGGATAAAGCAAAGGTTGCTAAGAATAATTCGATAAAAGATAAAGACCAGTGCTTCTGTTGTGGTAAAGATGGGCATTATAAGAGAAACTGTAGATAGTACCTTGCAGAGAAGGTGAAATAGAAGCTTGGAGAAGCTTCAAGTACATTCATGATCAGTTTTCATTTGTTAGATTCTTATGATAACAAATGAGCATTGGATACCGACAATGCTTATCATATTTGCAATTCATTGTAGATTCTAGTAAGACCTATGAAATTGGTGAGAGGCAAAATGGACATTAAGATGGGCAATGGAACAAAAGTTGCTATAGTAGCTATTTGCGAGATGACTCTACATCTCCCTAGTGGAGCTACTATTGCATTAGATGCATGTTATTTCATTCCTTCTATTATCAAAAAAATTATTTCTATTTTATGTTTAAGAATTAGTGGATATAAATTAGTTTTTGAGAATAATGGTTGTTCAATAATATTAGATGATAAGATCATCATTAGAGGAACATTGCATAATAATTTTTTTAGGCTAGATACTGCTCCACATATCATAAATATAAGTATGTTCAAGAGAAAATGAGATGAGGTAAATAGTGCATACATATGACATTGTAGGTTGGGTCACATCTATGAAAGAAGAATCCAAAAGTTATTGAAGAATGGATACCAAGATCCAATCGACTATGAGTCATATACAACTTGCGAGCCTTGCCTTCGTGGAAAATTGACCAACTCTTCATTTAGTGGAATTGGAGAGAGAGAGCAATTAAGGGACTTTTTTGCCTTCCTTTTCTTTCTAGTCTCACCGGTATAGAGAACTAGCTTCTCTTTCTTGATGGTGCTCTTGGCCTCCCTCAATATATTGAGTAGCTTATAGAAAATCACCTCAAGCTTGTTCATGTTAAAATTCATAATTAACTGAGAAAAAAAATCTAATAGAGACTTAAGCACAAGATCCACACATAGGTTATCTTCTAAAACCATTCATAGACTCATGAGCTTCTCTATCCACTCAATTATCTTGAGGATATGGTTTTGAATCAATGTCGCTTTAGTCATCCTAGCGTGGAAGAGACTCTTGGATATCTCATATCATTGAGTTCTTCCATATTCCTCAAACAATTTACGAAGATACAAGAGAATGAATATGACATCCATTTTTTCATGCTATCGTTGTTGCTAGTCATAGGTGCCCAGCAAGCTAATCATGTGAGTGATGACACGTGTGTCACGCCCCTCAAAATATCCATGATATTAAAATTTTCAACACAAACCAATCCAGGATCCAAACACACATTTGAGGACACTGAAAAACATTCTATCAAATTCACATCTATAAAACCTGTGCAGTTTATAATCATATATCAAATCACTCGATAATTCACATTTATGGTAACCCAAGCCAACTTGACAAACATGAACAACATTTATAAATCCACAAGCTAAATAAATTATACAACCAGAACTCCAACTATTCACCACAAGTTCATATCATCATAAATTAGACTTAACATTCCGAAATTCCAAATAAGAGAGATCGTCTAACACTTTTACAAGATATATCCATTTCGATTCATCGACAACATTTCATTAGATACAAAATATACTTATACAATAATAACATAATAACCAACAAGACTTGCCCATAATTCTGAATAGCTTTCCACTGCCTCAGCCCAATTCAAACATCTTAAAGAGTGACAAGCTGACCTGAAAGATTTATATAATAACGGAGTGAGCTAAAAACAGCTCAGCAAATAACAAAGCATATATAGCATGAGAAGGGACAGTTTCAAACAAACAAGATATCACAATGCAAGACAGAATCCAAGAGATTCAAGGATATCATCTCATTAGATACAGAATCGCAAATGTCATTTCATTCATAACATATTTGGTTCATAACAAATGGAGCATAGAGTAATTGGAGCATATCAATAGCGAATGAAATGTTCCGGAGCATATCAACAACATATGGAACATTTCGAAGCATAACAATAGCAAATGAAACATTTCAGAGCATATCAAAGGCGTATGAAATGTTTCGGAGCATATCAATAACAAATGGGACATTTCGAAACATATCAATGGCATATGTACCATTTCGGAGCATATCAAAGAACAAATATGAAATAGAAGCTCAAACGTCGAATTGACGTTGCATTCATTTCATTCTTATCCAAAGCATGCATAGAAACACATAACCAAAGCTCTGGATATCATATCAAACATACAGAAGGTGAAGTGGGACCATAACATAGTATGGTACATCCATTTCTGAATGACCACCAAACATAAGTCTCCCACATCTGGGAGCTCCATCCACCCACGTCTGAGTGAAGTCATAGGGGCCGGCAGAGCATCATAGGCTCTATGCATAACTCCCTTTACCAATTCTGGCAAAGGTTCACAATATCCCATAAACACCAGAGTACAAAGGGACAGTATGAACAATAAATAGCACATATCGGAAGCACACGCGGAACAACAAAACGTACATGTGCCTTTACGAGTCAATACGAAGTAAACAATAATCTTTCACAATTGTATTCAGATTTGAAAGGAAATGAAAGCAAGAGCATTCAAGGATTCCAAGCAATCACATATAACTCAATTCAAATAAGAAGATTAGATGAATTCAATGTCCAAAGGAATGAAACTAGAATAGGCACATATCGAAAGCAAATACGAAACAATGAGATATACATGTGCCTATATGAGTCAATGCGATATAGCATAAACGTTACACAATAATTTTCAAGAATGCAAATAATTTGAAGGACAAGAGCATACAAGAATTCAAAATAGTAATATAAAGCTCAATTGAATAAGAAAGCTAAAGGATATCAATTTCCAAAGGAATGAAACCAGAATATGTAAAATCGACCAAAGCTCGATTTCTGGCAGAATTCAGAAGACACATTGAATAAATGATTCAAACTATCAATCGTGCTCCAATATACTCAAGAAATATATTGTGGAAAGATATTTCAATCTAGTTTCTGATGAAACAAGTTTAATATGAATTGAATTGTCCAACAGAGAGAGTTACAAATAATTTGGTAAACAAGGGTCGCAGAACAAAATCTCTGTTTGGCAGAATTCATAAGGTCAGATTCAACAGATAACTGGGCAGGTGTTTGGACTCCAAATCTTTCAATCCATATATCAAAAGAAAGATCTACGAGTCTAGTTTCCAATGAAATCAGTTTTGAACAAATCGGAGTTTCCAACAAAGACTTATAGGCAGCTCGGTATCAAAAGGTCAGAATCTCAAAAGTTGCACAGAATCGAATCGTTACATCTAAACAGGAGATATATCAAATGCAAGGCTAGAACAATTCAAAGTTCCTTATATTCAAAGCAAATGTAGAGATAAAATTACAGTAAGGAAAGATCGGGACACTTGCAATAGGAAAGAATTGAAAGCTTGCAATAGGAAGGATCGAAACACTTGCACTAGGAAGATCATAATACTTGCAACAAGAAAAATTAGAGCAATTATAGTAGAAACGATCGGGAAACTTGCAATAGGTAAGATCGGAACACTTACAATAGGAAGGATTAGAAAGCTTGCAAAAGAAAGGATCGAAACACTTGCAATAAGAAAAATTAGAACAATTACAGGAGAAACGATCGAGAAACTTGCCTTTTAAAGATTTTGATCCGAAGATCCAAAGAAGGTGTCAGCC